CTTCTGGTTAGCAGCCAAATACCTTGTGCACTGTGCCACCAAAGCTCATTAGGGCTCCACCAGGGCTCCTTATTTAAGAAATACTCAAGCATCAATTCTATTATTCAATAAAAAGACTTCAGACCTCGTCAGAACTTATTTGTGCCATGTACCTATGCCAGGATGAGTAAACTGCAAAAAATAGAAGCGTGTGTAACTGTTTGGAGGTAAAACTCTTTCTTCCATATAGAAATCTTGGTTTACTACGATTTCATGAGCAATGCTCAGCTTGGAAACTTCATTAACTATCTCTATTAGATCTGTGAGAGAAAGAACTTCAGATCAGCTCTCTTGAAAAAGGTATAGTAGTCATTGTCCTGGTTATCTAGTACCGCTCTGACAAGAATATACCACAAATAGGATGGCCTTAACAAACAGGAGTTTATTCTCTCACAGTTTGGAGGCCTTAAGTGCAATTTCAAAGTGCCAGGCTCTAGGGGATGGGTGAAAGCCCCTTAACCTTGGGGTCCAGCTCTGCCTCCTGCTCCCGGCCCACTGGAGCTAGAGGCGTTTCTTCACTCAGACAGCTGCTGGCTGCTGAGGCTGACAAACCTAAGGTTGACAAGTGAAAAGGCACGGTCCCGATGTTACCAAACCATGCGGCAAGCCATTGATTCAAGTCCACTGTAAGTCCCAAGGTCGACAGAGCATGGCAGGCTGCTGAACAACGACACAGCTACATGTAGGTCCAAGTGTGCCATAAGCTAGAGACCATTCCCAAAGTTGCTGCTTATATATGGGAAGCAGACCACATACCCAAAGGCAGCTACTCAGCCACTCACAATAGATTCCACCATGGAATTGATTACCAGTCTCATCATGGGGAATATGACATCCAGCTGACCAGCCAGCCACTCAACAAGGCCCATCCAAGTTGACACACAAACTTAACTACCACAGTCATCAACAGGGAACCCACACAAATAAAATTCATATTTTATTCAGAGATCCACAGAGATATATCAAATGGATCTTATACAGACATTCAATCATTCTAGTACTTGGGGTTTTCTGAACTCTTTGCCCTCTGACAGTGATGACTCTCTCAGAGAAGTCAGGCATAGAGAGAAGAGAAGAAGTTCATTAAAAAAAAGAAACTGAAGTTTATTTAAAAGCCTTTCTCTAGAAATGTGAAAGCAATAAGTAAAATACAGCAAAAAAAAAAAAAATGAATAACTTGTGATTTGTAAAAGATACTGTGCTTCCACTATCCTCTTCCTAGATCTGATTCTGCACACAGAATGAGAGTTCGGTGAGGCTTGACCAGTCAAACCAAAACCTCAAATGACTGACATATTACAGAAGAGACCTCATGTCCCAGTGTGTACATAACAGTGTTGCTACAGATCTAAATAATTTGACCCCAGGGCAATGTTAATTCTTATGTCAGCAAGGAACCCTTGAAAGAGCATATAACACAATTCCAGCCCCATATAATTTGGATTCTTTCACATCTATCCTAGGTATTTAGCATGTACAAGCTACAAAATGAAAATATGAGAATGGGATGTTTTTCCCATGTTTTGAACTGACCCAACCACCATTAAGTCCTGTTAAATGCAAGTAATCATGCTTTCTTCTTTCTCTAGAGATAAACAAACAAACAAATAAAAACCTCTTAATTGTGCTTTTTGATCAGAAGCCTTGGTCCTGCATGTAAAGACGGCAAAAGAAATGTAAGAAAAACAATAAACCAAAAGAGGAGCAGTGGAAAGATGAGGAAGGAAAAATGCAAACATGCAAGAGTATTCCATGTCCCTTAAAGGCACTTAAACTACAGGCTGCCCATTTCTTTAAGGTAATTGGTATGAAGTACAGCTCAAGGAAATCATAGCAGAGAATTCTAGACCTACCAGGAAACCCGTCATCCAACTGTCGTTTTCCTGGCTCTGCCCTGGTGTTTTAGACATATGGGGTGTACTTTCTGCTTCACTAGAATCATTCTGGAGTAGAGTTTCCTCCATCTTAGGCATTTTGATGTTATCTGGAATGGAACAGAAAAGAAGGGGCAATCTTTTGGTGCCATACATGACTCTGGCCTGTCCCTGGCATGGAGAGTGTTGATGGGAGCCGGATTGTTCTTAAATTTTCATCGTGTGCCCTGGATGCCTCAGTTTATGGGGTTAGAGAAAATGGCTTCAAGGGTTTCTCAGAGGAATAGCTAGTATCCTGAAACAGGGCCTGGAGGAAGGAGAATCTGAGACTAGTAGGGTTGCCTTTCCTGAAATCTAAGAAGTCTAATTCTGGGCAAGCAGAAGAGGAAAGGCCCAGGAAAGGGCAATGATTGGCCCTGCCCCTGCGCTTGCAAGATGGATCTAGGTTAGGAAACTTCCTCCACTCTGCTTGTCTTTAATTGCCCCTACCTCCTTAACTTTTGCCCCAGGCCCTTTTTGGTGTCCTGGAGGGCTGGTGGGTTGGCTCAGCCAGAGGGCATGCCCACAGCCATCGGATCCTGGTCTCTCACCTCATCTCCCTCCTCCATTGGCTGCCCCAGGGCTGAGTCTGCTTCTGTGGCCCTAGGGGCAAAGTGACTGAGTTCTAGAATGTACCATCACGGCTGGGGCGGAAGGGGAGATCAGGATGGAGGGAGATGGGCGGAACCATGAATATGATGATACCTATTTCAAGAGCAACACTGGCCAACATTAAGTGGGAGAGTCGGGGACTGAAAAACAAAGGGTAGCCTGTCTCCCAGGTAGTTGGTAGTGGGGCGTGGTCACTTTACCTAGGTACCTTAGGAACCCTGAAACCTGGGAAAGCAGGCGGGCTGCCAAAGAGTGGTAGAGTCAGGAGGCAGAGAAGAGACTTCTGGCTCTTGCCCTCCCTCAAGGGCTTGAAACCCATATAGAGTTGGGGATTAATTTTCTCAGGACATTCCTCCTCCACAGGCGGTGCTGTCCGAAGCTTTATTCTACCCTCACCACCACCCCCACCCCAATACCATGTAAATAACTATTTAGGGAGGAAAGGGTGCGCTGTTTTTGTTTTGTTTTCACTTTGAGCTATTCATACAGCTGTAGAAATAAAGTTGCAGAATTCTGTTTGGGGTTGGTTGGTTGGTTTGTTTTAAGTGAATCCTCCATACAGTGTACCAAAACCAAACCCAGTGCCATCCAGTTGATTCCGA